TATCACTTAAGTGTCCGAGTCTTGTTCTTATTTGCATATGTTCAGAATCGGGTCATCAAATTTAATTGCATTTTGCTGCAGTTTGGGTTATCTGTCAGCCTATGTTGAAGAAAGGCCATCGTCCAAATCAGAAGTAGCACTGTGAGTGAAGACAGAGGTGCTTTAGCAGAACCATAGATCGCTTTGAACTAGCATGATGAAGTGTGCACGCAACATCAGCAGCCTTGTACAACACTTTGGAGCTGCAAAGATTTGGGAAATGTGCTTGGATTCAGGGCACACACAAAACACAGCATGGGCATGGTCTGTTATATGGTGTGTATTTGAATTTCCTTCGGTCAGCTCTAAAACGCGTTCTTAAGTTCTCCTAAATACTCCTAAAACGCTTAATATCTTTATAACTATGGTTGAACAGAGCTGTTGGGATTTTTTGCTGTTAACATTCAACCACTTTAGATGTTACATAAAATAACCTGTAAAAATTAGGTCCCCGAAATGAGACCAGCCAACAGAGTGTAATTAGTCTCAGGAGTTTGCTGAAAGTGCCTGCTGACTGCAGCTGATTTGTAAGCTTTGATTTGCAAATAATTGCAGTGTTGGTTTTGCTAAAATTATCCATAAAGAAATTGAGCAGAATAGCCTTCAGAGACACAGGAACATGCTGTATATTTAAGAATAGTCCCACTGAACAAAAAATGGATCATGGAACTGTAGGGAGTTCCCCTAACAAGTGCCACAGCCTTGCAGACTAAATCTTCCCTACCCGTAATTTCAAGGTGGCTTTGTTCATTCACACCAGTTAGCGTAAGGCCCCATAGAAAACTTCAAGAGTTCATAACTAAACAGAGGCAAGTTAATGTCATCACAAAATGTACTTTATTAATTTGTTTTTCAGCCTGATTTTCATTGTTTATAATAATAAATTGCAGTGAGTAAGTAGCAAAAGGCCAGCAGTACATTTTCCTAAAAGTTTGGCGGCTTTTGCTGTACTAGATCACACTGTATTGCTTGTGTTAAATTTTTATTGAGGAAAGGAAAGGGGAAGTAGCATTTGGAGCGCGTGTTACGCGCTGTGCTGACTAGTAATGAATGAGAATATACGTGATCCAGTGCCCGTTCATTGGAAATACCCCCTCCTGATTTTATTGGCTGTGAGTCAAGACATTTCAGAGTTTCTGCTGTGTCATTTTACGTAGCAGGATTTTCATTTAGATCTGCCTATTTATTTTCCAGTTTTTACCATAATCCCTTTAAAAAGTGCTTTCATACAAGCAGCGGCCCCGATTCCCTCTAAATTGCTTGGAGTTGCTAGGGAGGAGTTTTCTTCCAGTTTCAGAACAGTGCAAACTTGTGAAATTTGCAGTAACCAATGATTGAAGGAAGAGTCACGCTCTCAGTCGATTTTCATTGCTCTGCCGACAGCCAGCAGGAGCTGAAATACTGCACAGCACTCACAGTCAAAAGTACATCAGTAGGAGCAAGTGGCGAAGGGGACATAAATCCTTTTGAGTAGCCAGGGTGAAAACACAGCGTGCAAAGTCATACTGTTACAATTTCAACAGTTACCCGGTTAACTTTCCCGGATTCTTGCTATAATAGGCAGGTGGATTACAGGCAAGGTAACACAAAAGTGCAGAAGGGTAGAGTAAAGCAGCCAACCAGAGGACCTGGGATGAGAGGGTAGGAAGTAGCGTCCTTCAAAGCACTGAAGTGAATAATAGATTCAGAATAGTTAACGGATTGAAATCTTCAGTGCAAGAATATTTAAGTAAAGAGAATAGAAGGGACATTTTAAAGATGAGTCTGATATTGTGACACTATACTAAAATCAAATGCTTGTTTCAATCACTTTTTCTGTGACAGATGTACTGTAAAGTATATTTGTTACTCCCACAGTATCCTAAAATGGGTGCCTCACCTTCCCGAATTATTTATCCTAAGAACACGCTCCAGTCTTACGTTGAGGGTATAAATTACGGGAAGACTAAACAACTTTTTAACAGGCAAAGCAGAAGATCACTGCCAGGACTCTTAAGGTAGCTTCAAAACACTGGTCTATGCCTTGGCTGTGTCCTGGGCCTTGTTCACATGCTCTCTGAGAGATGGTGGCTCTTCGTGATAGTTGAAGTCATTTTTTTTTTTTCCTGAAAAGCAGCTTTGCTTCTGGAAGATAGTCCTACAGCACAGGATGTTAGAGCAGCTTAGATACCTGAAGATGTCAATAGGCTCCTAGTAGTGTTTCTAAAACTGGGTATTAAATATCTACTGAGTGGCTCTCAAGTAGAATGCTCAGTTTGCAAGTGTAAATGACGTTGTTGGTTGGTTTTTTTCTGAATCTCAACTTTGCAGTCTGAAATGGGAGAGTCCTAGCTTAGTTCTTTAGTGATGAATCTTTAGAAAGAAAATGCTAATGAAACACGACTGCTTTAGAAAGAAATGCTGGTATTTACCACAGAGGGAAAATGAAATGAATTACGGCCTTATTGGGCTGCTTTTTAAAATTTATTTATTATTTTAAGTGTACTTTGTGCTGATATTTTCAAGTCCCGCTTTGACCACTGCTCTTCAGACACAGACTTTCCCAGTAAGAACACTACGCTGGAGACAGAGTATTGAGTATGAGAGGAAAGTCGTTGCTTATCCTGTCTTAGTAATGTGGATTGAGAAAGCAGAGTGGAGTAAAACAAAGGAGTAGGAGTTAAACGTGTAGTTTTCTGCCCATGTGTTTTGAGAGAAATCCTTGCGAGTGAGATGGCTGATTTTAGAGACCACCTAGTGTAAAACCACTAGTGATCACAAGTCTGTACTGTCAGAGAGTTTGTTCTTTCTGACTGTTTGCCCGTTGCCGATTTGCCTCATCCTCTCTCTGTAGGTACTCTTCGTAAGCCCTGCTCATGAACATCTTCCTATTACCATTAGAGTTTATATGTTGTGGCTTTTGACTTCTGTTGGGTGCCAGACAGTAGTGAGTCCCCAGAGGGGGCAGGATAATGCCCCCCTTTTCCTTCCCTTGACAGCTGCAAGAAGAAGGCAGCACGATCATTACTGTGGTCAACACTCCTCGTTGGGAAGGCTACTCTGAGGTTACTGTGCTGAGTTTGAGCTGACATAAGGGTATAAATCTACATAAAACAGGCTGTCAGGACAGTGAAAAATATCTCTGCCTACCAGTTTTGGGACAGATGGTGACAGATTTGTCTAACGTTTGTTAATTTGGACTGATAGCAGTTAATAATGTAGTACCACTGTCTGCTTTCTTTCCCAAAATGTATTAGTTAGATTAGACAGATGTATTCCTATAGGAAGTATCTTCAGTGTGGTGTTAGTAGTTTGTTGTGATAGTGCTTGGTACAGATGTCTGTATTGACAAAGTGTAGTGCTGGCTTCTCCATGCATTTTTGTTGGTTTGGGGTATGTATGTGCTTAACAAAGAAAGTCATGTTTCTGAATCAGAGAAGGCAGCCAAAATAACAGCTAAAACGGTCAAAAAATCTTAAGCAATTTTAAAGCCCAGAATCCATGGCTTAGGCTATATCATAGAAACGATATTAAATAAATCAAAAGTACTATAAAAAAACTCTAGCAAATTTCAGCAAGATTTATGATAAATGTTATAGTCTTGCTAATTTTTAGTAAGCATCTAGGCTCTTGGAACATTGGAGAGCTGTAGAAATTAATTCTAAGTCCAATCTGAGAGGAGTATTGGCATTGAGGAACCTATGTCGTCTTGCCTTTCTATAGAATGGAGCAAAGCAAGCGCTCCAGCTTTGATCGAAGGTTAGCAGAATCTGAGGTCTTTTGTGGCCAGTCTCATTTTTGAAAAGAGAGAGAAGCGCTCCTTTACCATTTAAGTTCTTTTGCTAATTTAAAATATATATGTATTGTTGGGGAGGGGGTTGATTGGTTTCTTTTTTCTCAAAAACAAACAAACAGGTGATAATTCCTCTTCCACAGTGAGTTCACAGGCTATCAAAGCACTTTGGGAACAACTAATCCCTGGGGTAATATGGAAGAGGAAGTAGAAAGCATGTTTCTTCAGTAATCTGCTGCAATATTTCTAAAAGTAAGCTTTGTAAATACATAGTCAGACAAAGCGTAGATTTGACTTTTGTCAAAGGAAGTATAGTAAAAGTGCAGGAAGGAAGTGCTCCGGCTGGGGAATGGGGAACCATCTTCTTCAGTTGATGTGTGGAGGTTAGTGGGGGAACTGGCTAAAAAAATGGCAGTTCCTAGAGACCCGAGTGGGACAAGGTATGTTTGTAATTAAGTAAGCCCCTGGAGGGGAGAGTGAAATGTCTGGTTTTTGCTGATGTCAAGAACGCAACTTGGGAAATGATGATTCGTTTCTTTTAAAAACGATTATGACAGAAGCATAAAGGGATCTAATTCTCGGCAGCCTGTGTTCATTGCAGTTAGTTAAACCAGTGCAAACTGAGTGAAAACATGCACAGCTGTGATTCAGTACTCTTTTTCACACCCATTTAAGTGTCCACAACAGTGACTCTCTGGTCAAAGGACTGTAAAAACCTAAACAGCACTCAAAGTGTAAATACGGATCTGTGTGACAAATATCGTGTTCCTTTTCAGTGGCGCTCCTTTCATCAACGTTTCGTCGAAGCAGACTGCCTGTTTGCCACGTACCCTGACTTGAAATTTTCCTGATATTTCACATCAGCATTTTAGAACAGAAACAATGAGGAACGGTTTGTTGCTCCAAGGCATCCTTGGGCTCCTTTCTGCTTAGTCGCTGATTCCATTTAGGCACACGCAAAAATAGTAACTCGTATTGGTGGAAAAAAGCTGCCAAATGGTAAAAAAACACTTGTGTCTCACAAATATTTGTGTCTCTAGACATGCGCGATGTACTCTGTGCCTGAGTCAGAGTGGAGCTGATACACTGGTTGCTGAGAGTCTAATGAAGCGTTTTTACGGGTTTTGATTAGTACTTCTTTCCTAATGAAACTTTTGAACAATTAAACATGAATCCACCATTATTTCAGGAGAACCCAGCGCACCCAAACTGGAAGGTCAGATGGGAGAAGATGGAAACTCCATTAAAGTGAATGTTATCAAGCAGGATGATGGTGGCTCCCCAATTAGACATTATCTGATCAAATACAAAGCTGTAAGTATGTCTGACACTCAAGCCTGATTTGTGTTTAACCTGTTTAGTACTCAGGCTTCATTATACAGGCAACTACCACAGCAGACAACCCTAAAGCTAAGAACATACAGTTAGGTCAGTACAGGAAAACATGCCAAACAGATGGAGCGGTCAAGGATAGGATAAGAGACATACCGTGCAAAGGAGCGACATCCATAATCTTTTGTCTCGTTTTCTTTTCCTTGACTTTGATTATGGAACGTTATTCCTCCATGCTAAGCACCTCCTGCAGAACCTAGGGCCTATGGCAATTACATGCGCCTAGTATAATTGCGCTTCATATATTTTTGAAACAGGACTGCCAGCAACAATTTAAATAGCTCTGGACCAAAGGCTCATAGTGCGGAGTGTTGCTTGTCTTCAGACATGTATCTAACTGCAACTCTTTATGGGTCATTCAAACTGCCCTATTTTATTGTGTAATGAATGTTTCAGTACTTAAATTGTTCTGCAGCTTGTTGAATAAGAGATTCAATCTGTTTAGTGGAGACCCAGATTACGCGAGAGCATCCTTATCTATGGCCATATGGAAGATGCTATCTGAAGAAGTTCTTCTTTAGGCCTAACTAAACTAGATCTCACTGCCTATGTGAATTGCCAGGGACTGCAAAGCACATGATTCTCTGATTGAAGAAAACATCCAGCCCTGGTCTAGGGAAAGGACTTCTATGTGATGAGCAGCTAGTATTGCTGTAAGCTAAACACACCTTGTTTTGTGTTAGGTTGTATTTGATTTTGTTCCTATCACAGGAAATGAACACCCAATGGGAGAGGTTGCTTAGCACATCCTTGAGGAATACAGCCTTGGTGGAGTTTCATTGAAAATCCAAAGATCCCTAGAGCAGCAGGAAGAATTACAAGAAATTACTGAAGCTTTATTCTATTGTCTGTACACTTTTTCTCAGAATTAATGCATCTGGGGGCAGCTCAGCTGCACCAGAGTCTTTGCAGTGAAACATATAGAAGCGTCACAGCTATGAAGGAAGCAGGGCACTTGTGTAACTGGGTCTGATAGATGTGCTCCTAATTTTGTTCTATATTGGCTATTAGGTAATCATTTCCTTATATATTGCAAATAATCCTTGAAGTCACAGAGCAAAATTTACACTGCTGTCTAGAAATCTCAAGAGTATTCCTTACCACCATTTTGTGCTTTTCAGGTTATTCACTCAGAGCTTCTTGGGAAGGGGAAGGTCTCTAGAATTTCTAAAAGGCAATTGAGTATGACAGAACCATAAATGCTAGTGGAGATGGAAAAGCTTGTTAGTGCGCTCTTCTCCCATCTAGAAGCTTGGGAGACTGGGTGAGTTTGGACCACAGGACCTTCAAAAGGTTCACTGACATGGAGTGTCAAATTCCTGGTTTCTGATAGCTAATAACGTTCTATAGTGGAGACATCCTCCGGCTCACTGTCTTTTCCTTCTGTGTTCTCATTGAACTGTGTGGGATCAGCACTGTAAATCAGCTTCATGCTCCTGTACTCAGAGCTCCATGTGACTGGCTAGAAAAAAGATACTTTTGCAACCCAGTAGGAGGTTTCATTTTTCTGATGCTTAGGTGTAGCTACGGTAATTGCAGTATAACTGCAAAAGTGCAAAAAACATCTTAGCTCTCCTCTGTCAGATCTTACACGTAGCAAGCATTGTTCTTAATTGAGTTTTTCCTCTCCCCTTTTTGTGAGAAGTTCACAAAGACAATACATAGGAGAAGATTTTGCAGGAAGAATAATAAATGTAGTGGGATTAACTGTTTCTCTTTTCCAATGAAGAGATATACGTTTGTTAAGAAGGGTATTTCTCTGGTGTAACGTTTTGCCCAATTATATTTGTTGTTCTTCAGTGTCAGGGCTCCAGAAGTAGGAATGCTACAAGTTCTTTGTGAGCCGGAATCCTCCCAGAAGGGTGGGTGGTTGTCCTTGCAGGAGATGTCACATTGTACAGACAAAATGTATAGGATTGATGGAGGATTTCCTGGGTATAAGTCTGCAGCATGAGTTAGACAGAAAGCTAGATCAGGTAAGATGACTATAGAGGTCGCATCTATCCTGCAAAGGTGTTAAGAAACTTCCTTTGCCTTTTTTCTCTTGACCTCATTTATTATCATGTGCTGGCACCACAGTCCTGTTCTGAAATTGCCTGTCTCTCCTTGATTTCTTTGCATATAATTCCTGTCAGAGGCATCACAAGGCCCTGTCTTGCTGGCCCATGTGTGGGTGGATTGTCATAGCTGCCCAACTAGACGGAGCTGTGCATAAAGTAGCTTCCTTTATTCAAGGAACAGGCTGAAATACTGCAGTGAATAGCTGGCTTAATGCAGAGATTTTTCATGGGAACGTGTTTTCCTGAAGTAGTGAATAAGATAAGCACTGGGAAGAGGCAGTATCTTCTTTTGTAGTACTTCTGCATATACACAGCCCACAGGCATGCAGTGAGGTTCCTTGGGAGCGCATACTTCTGAAACCTGTTTCTAACTGGCTCTTGAGGAACCGTGGTACCAAACCTTGTCTTAGTTCTGTCCAGATATTGTCAGGGATGTGGTAGCACCCTGATGTAACCCTGCTGTTACCAGCTTGTTAGTAGGAAGATGAGCTGCATGCCTAGAGCATTTCAGATTGCCTTTCCTCCTGCAAGAGCTAAGGAAGAGAAGCCTTTGTGCAGAAAAAAGAAGCTGCCTTAGACTTTCTCTCAAGATACTTTGACAGTAGATTTTTTCAAATTCATCTGAGTGATTTGGATGTCTGGATTCCCTGAAATTTAAGAAGGACTTACCAAAGTTATGAATAGTAGGCACTTTTTGAAATCTCTCATAAACAGAGCAGGCCAGTACAGTTGTGGTAAGCTAGGCCAGATCGCTCTCACAGGGTAAACCTCTGTCCTTGAAATGGTTTAAATTTGACACATACCAGGGCATGAAAAAACACTCTTGAAGTGCTTGGCAGAGCAGAGACATATGGAAATTGCAGCTTTTTCCCTCTGAAAGCAGTCTGATGATGTGGCAAAGATGACAGGAAGAACAGACATGTTTTCTTCAAGCTGCATGAGCCTGCAGGAAGCAGAACTGTGGGCAGGAAAGAAGCTACTTGAGTAATCTGTTGTCCTCTCTACTTAGAGCTATCAGCAAATGACTTTACCACCACTGAATTAGCAGAGAAGCATGCACATGTGTAGAAGCCCCCCACTTTTCCATTCGTTAGTTCACTGTCACCCTAATCTCAAAGCTGAGTACTAATATTGTGCTGTATGTTTCTTATCCCTGCCTGCCCTCTCCCTGTTCTGCAGAAGCATTCTCCAGAATGGAAACCAGAGATCAGACTTCCCTCTGGCAGCGACCATGTCATGCTCAAGTCCCTGGATTGGAATGCGGAGTATGAGGTTTATGTGATAGCTGAAAACCAGCAAGGGAAGTCCAAACCAGCTCACTATGCTTTCCGAACTTCGGCTCAGCCTACTGTCATCCCAGGTACAGTGGTCATTAGCTTTACCATTGTTTTCTGCTTCCAATTAATGCAACAGTGCTGCATCCCTTAATGTGCCTGAGTAAACCCTGACAACTTGCTTGCTTAAAGCCATTATCATAATTGGTTACCCATCAAAAGCTTAGTTTTGCCATGTACATACCTGTACTGTAGTCCATGTTACAGTATGTACAGCATTACAAGTACACTGATAAGAATGCTACATGCCAAATCTTGTCTGACTGTCATAGGGAACGTTGGCTCTTTGTATCATGGTAACAGGATTGCCCAATGAGAAAAGTAGCAGGCAAAAAATGCTTTCTGAAAACAGAAAGTAGAATTTCCAGTTTAAACCAAAGCAAAAAAGAACATTCAGATCTCTGATGTGATGCTTTTCACAATGCAGGTTTCCCTTCCGTGCCTGCTTTGTGCTTACTTACTGTTCATTTGTCCATCCAGTTCAATCTTTGAAGGAATAAAGGCTTAAGGATCTTGCTAGAGGTCGGAAAGGGAGGGGCTTAAGATCTTTTCAGTGAAGGATTTTTATTGAATGAAATAGAGATCAAATTAAAGTAATTTAAAAACAAGCCTTATTTTAACATTTGACAGCCGGTTAGGGAAAAATAACCAAATTGTATCAGTGTCTTGCTGGAAGCTGCTGTTTCAGACAGACCTCGTCCCTCCTTAAAAAGTGAGGCAGAAGCACAATGCTGTGAAAAACAAAATTTGAAAGCTGGTGAGTTGGTCAGTCAACATAGTAAGTTCTCACTGCACAGCCAGGATTAAGCATATACATGCCAAGATTGGTGATGACAGTCCAGATTGAAGAGAGTGATTTGATTTCATTCTGTCCTCTAGATTCTTAACTGCAAGTCTCACGTTTTTCATCAAAACAGCTAAAAAGTTTTCTCAGCCTTTCCCTTGCACTGAAACGTCAGCCCTGGGTCTGCCTCTGCATTCCCTCCTTTCCTCTCTGAAGGATGAAGCTGAGGGCTTGTGCAGTGTACATGTTCAAACTCCACTTGATTAAGTCAAGTAGCATTATTAAGCATATACAGAAGTGACCTAGATGCTTAGGGGTGAAAATAGGTATGGTGGGGAGGGGGAGGGAGATGGGGCACAAGGGAGTTTGAGATATGTGTTTTAACAAGCTCTTGTTCTGGATGGAATGTACACTCAGTAACACATAAACAACTTACATTCTGATTTGCATTTTCAACAGCTCTAATACTTACTACTGTCACATATTTGAAGGACAACTGTGACTGACGTGGTAGGGGTGCTTTGGCAAAGAGCTCCTTAAAGTCTTTCAGACCTGAGCAGTCCAAGGCAGTAGGCTGGGAACAGCAGACAGCTGGTTCCTTTGCCTTGTTGTGCATTACCCCAGTAATGACAAGTGCTGGTCACTCTGGGAGTGTGGGCAGCGAGTACTAACTTCCTGTGCAGGTATTCTCTCTTAGCCTTTCTTACTGAAGAACCAACTGGGATGCCAAGATGTATCTGGGACAGCTGGCGTGTTTTGCGCAGGTGTATTAGCGATCTGTGAGAGTTCCATTTCCTCTGAAATAGAACGTTCATGCCGTAGTCCATGGCAGTGGGAGGAGCAGTGAGGTCAGACTCCGCTGAGCCTTTTAAATGCAACAATAACACGGGCAGGGACTCTTAAATGAATGGAAGGATGAAAAATGTCCATTTTTGTGCCATTGGTGTGAGGACTTTGGCCTCCCTGTAATTACTCCACACTTACTTACTTTGGTGTGAAACATAGGGGGAATCAGGATTTGAGGCTGCCACTTTAAATGCTACTTCTAAATGTTGGAAGCTGTATTAAACGGCCCCAGGGAAGCGCTTGGAAAAACAGCCCTTGTTTCAGAATGCAAGTTTCCTGCAGGGCTGACCCAGCAGACTGATATAGTTGGATTCTCAGAAAGAACATGCCTTGTTTCAGGGGGAAGTAGAGCATTGTGCAGTGAAGTGACTACTGCTAGCTCTGCTAGACTGTTGACTCTGCTTCTCTAGCTTTTTCATTTTGTAGAGGACTGCGGTTTATATTAGGTTTTCAGAGGTGTTTCCAGACCCTTTGGTTTCTTGAGCCAATCCCCAAACTAATAACGCTAGGAAAAATGGTCCCTGAAGCAGCCAGATTTTTCCGACATGCGAATCACATTTTGAAATGAAAACAGCTATGCTCAGTTGCAGTAAGGAAGGAGTTCTGTGTATTAGTTTGCTTTAGCACCTCTTGTCGTTTTCATGGAGTTTAGCTTTTATGTTTTGATTTTGAAATGAGCTACATAGGGGAGAGGTCAGACCTAATGTCTCTAACATGACGTCTGTACAGTTTTCACACGGTCCTTAAAATGATTGGAAGGGTGTTATAAAAACCGTTGTGTTGGAGTAGTTTGCAAGCAGCTGAAAAGCTTAATGGAAAAGTCAGCCTTGTGTTCTTGAGTCCATCTTGCTTTTGCAGAGTTATACTCACCAGGATCTAATATCCAAGTCCTTGGTACAAGCTTGGGGAAGGACTTGGACAAGAAGTTAGGTGGAATGTCTGCTCCAAAAAATTTGGGGGGGGGAGATAAAAGGCTGTGTTGTCCTTTCAAATTTCAGATAATCATTTTCTTACATTTCTCACTGAGCCTCCTATTCTGTCATTCGTTTTAATCTCATCTGCTTGCTAACCCCATAAACCCTGACTTAGAACTTGCTCTGCAGCTTTTGGCATTGCTGAGCTTCTGAACCAGCCCTTTTGTCAGTGTGAATGTGTTAATGCTCTTCTCTAACCTTTAGCCATTTTAATTTACTAAACTAAATAAACCTTTGATTCTTATGTTTTCTATATTTATGACCTAATTTTTTTTATCTATTTTTTTCTCTTTTTCTCTCTTTTCTTTCTTCTTCCTTGTCCTATCTTCCCTCCCCTCTCCCCTCTTCCCCTTGTTCCTTTCCTACGGTCTGTCGTCATACATGTCACCTTGGACCTCACGGGAAACATCCACGCTTGCCACATGCACCAAATTTGTTTTTAAACAACCATATTTTCCCCTCCTGGGAACCATTGTCTGGCACCTGCAGCGACCTTGGGAAGTCCATCAACGTCGTCCTCCTTTGTTTCATTGCTTCTTTCTGCAATGACTCTCCTTTTGCTCTGTTAGAAACTTCAAAACAAAATACAGCAAAATTTGCTTTAAAAGGCCAGGCTCCTGCCAAGGCGTGAAAGCAGATAGTTTTGCTTTGGAGGATCGTGTCAGTTCAGGAAAGAAAAAAAACAAAACAAAACAAAACATAAAAACAACAGATCATTTTATTTGAAAGAGTCAATATTTTGTAACAAGAGATGAAAAAGGTTTAAGCCAAGTGTTTTCTCTTTAAAGTTTTTTTGTTACTTAAAATGAATTTGCCCTTTTTTCATGGATGTAAAGAGATTTTTTTGTTTGCTTTGTTTTTCATCATAGGAAGGTACAATATTTAAAGCCTTCTAAAAGGCTAGCCTTTGTTGATTTCTGCGCGCATCTAGTGCTGATCTTCACTGTTTGTTGTGGAAAAGATTTCTAAAGCCCCATCCACAAATCTAAACCCACAGACTAAAAAAAAGAAAGAAAACTTGTCAGATAGAATCCTATTGGTTTCCCCAATTTCTTTGAGGGCTTTTGCGTGTGGATTAAAGCGTAAGGCCATGAGAAGATTTTCCTGATGCAGTGGCCTGAAGAAAAACATCTTGGTAGGAATTACATGGAAGAGTTTTCTTCCTTTCTGCTTTTATGTGGTTGAATCCTTGGAACTTCTTTGGCCCCTCTTGTGTGGTCAAGTATCTCATGGTCCCAGAGATACCAGAGATACCAGAGATCCCAGAGTGCATCTTGGGCGTAATCCAGCCCAGGAGTGTACAAATTTGCAATGGGTGCTTGTCTAACTTCCTATCCGGTTCTGCAGTAGTGTATTGTCACCTTCATAGAAAGATCCCTTTTCTTCCCATTTGAACAGATAAGACTAGGTGGGATCAAGTAACCTGACCATCTAAATGATTATTATTACTGAACCTTAATAATATTCATGGTTAACTGTGCATGTGACACTACAAGATAGGGTTGATCGATGGTGTAAATTGACTCAATATAATGCAGCTTTGTTATCAAGTCTCGTGTATTGCATTTCGTTCCACCAATTTCAGTTGACTTTTTTCCTTCTCGTCTTTATTTAAAAAGGAACTTGTGCCCTTTGTGAATTGTGTGTGTTATGGGAAATCCATTTGGCTTTGTTGCTCCTTTAAGCCTTGCAAAAATGGATGTGTGTCTCCCTCTCTCTCTCTTATTCTCCGTAAGTGGGCCTGAAATTGCAAAGAATGAAATTGAAAACATATTTTAGACACAGCTGTAAAATATCTGTACAAAATCTGACAAATCGTATCAGTGCTCCTGAATGGGATTAAACTTTCTAACAAAATTCTATTAGGGCACAAAACAAAAAACAGAAACCCCTTGCCATTAATCTTGTCTGTCTATATACATTTTATGCTCTGCACATAAGTCTCTGGCTGTGTTCAGTCAGACCATTATAATTTTTGTGATATTCTTTTCTATCTAAATGATAAATGAAAACATTGTGTGGGTGTTGTTGCATACATAAGGATGTGGATTTCTTTCAGAAAAGTGTCTTGCTTCCAAACTGTCCTCTTCAGTCCTTCATATTGTAAAAGATGTATTGCAACGCAGAGGTACATGGAAAACACCAGTGATGTTTGTGATAGCTCTTTAGACAAAAAGCTCAGAGGGATGTGTAAGGCTTTGAAAATTGGTTGTACTGCTTAAAGTATATAGGCCCAAGAGTCGCACTGGAAGATTCTTCACTATGCCAGCATCCTTTGACAGAAGTGACTGCATAGTTTCAGCAAAAATCGTCATAGCACAAACAAACATCCCTGAGTTCCCAAAGCAGCTTTTAGATTTTTTCCTTTCGGAGCTTATTATTTTGGTTTATAGGCTCACACCCTCAAAACTCATAGCATCTT